CATCCTTCTCCAGAGGAGCAACTGGTGGATTCAAACCGTGTGCCTTAGGGATTGCAGCAAAGATTCTTACCAGTAGTCTGCCAGAGCTCCCTTTGAGGTATTAGAAATGTGTTTCTTAATACCTAAACATTCAGAGATTTCTGACTTACCTTTTTTATTGTTGATGGCTAGACAATTCACTTAGGTCAAAGAACATATCTTTATAATGCCAATTCTTTCATGTAGGGAGTTATGGTGGCCCAGTGGTAAAAAGCTGAGCTGTAATCCCAATTCCTTTATTTTTTTAAAAATGTATTTTACGATAAGTAAAGGGTCAAGATTTTAAAAATATTCCACAAGGACTTGAAAGAAAGAGTTCTGCAGCTGGGTGTCATCTTAAAAAATATGTCCATTAGATAAATTTTTAAAATCATGTTGTTCACATTTTCTACATACTTTTAATCTCTACTTGTACTACAAATTAAAGAACTATATTGAAATCTTCCATTATTGTTTGTATATCTGCCTATTAGACCTAATAGTTCTGATTACTGTTTAAGTGTTTTAGAAAAGTGAAAATTAAAATTGAACCTTAAATTCCTATAAAGTCACTTTTTTTACAATGGAACCAATAGTCTTTATTGGTGGTTACTGAGAGAAAGGGGAATAAGACAGCTCCTCCTTCCAAGGCAGCATTCCGAGTCTTACTGAATGCCCATAAAGTCATAATTTTATTTCTAGCAATTCTTTATGAAGTCCATTTTATTTAATACTAAATATAACAGACTTCTTTAGACTTGAATGGTATACTTCCCAATGCATTTATATAGCCTGTCTAGTGGTGTGAAAGTTAGGCATTGAGTAGATAACCAACAGGTTGCTGATCTGAACCCAGCAGGCACTCTACAGAAGAAAGATGTGACATTAGCTCTAGTAAAGATTTACCATTTTAAAAATGTTACAGAGCACTTTCTCATGTTTTTGACTATAATGTTGCTATGAGTGGAAACAACTCTCCACCAGTGGTTTTTATATTTAAGATTGTTGTTGTTTACCATTGAGTTGAGACTAACCCATAGCTGACCCACCAATGGATCTTCAGAGGCAACTGCAAGTGAGTTGAAACCAACTCATAGTTGATTCTCCAATGGTTTTCAGAGGCAGTAATTTGCATGTGAGGAGACTAACTTTTTTTTCCCCACAAAGGAGCTGGTGGATCAAAACCATGTGCCTTTGGATGCACAGAGTAGATCCTTACATGCTAAGCCATTGTTGTTGTTATTTACCACTAAGTCAGAACCAGCTCATAGATGAGTTGGGTTTTCCAAGTGGATTTCCAGTGGGTTTTCGGAGGCAGTAAATTGCACAGGAGGTGATTACTCATCTTTCTCCTGTGGAGCTCCTGGGTTGGCAGGCAACTCCTTACCCCTAAGCCACCAGAGCTCTATTATTTTAGCAGTTGTTGTCATACACCATGGAGTCAGAACTGACTCACAGCTAACCCTCCAGCAGATGTTCAGAGACAGTAAACTGCACAGGAAGAGACTGACCATCTTTCTCCTAGAGCATCTGGTCAATCAGAACTAAGTGCCTTTGTGTTGGCAGTGCAAGCTTTACCACTATTAAACTCTAAAAGGCGCTTGACTGTGTGGATCATAACAAACTGTGGCTGACTCTGAGAAGAATGGAAATCCCAGAACATTTAATCATGCTAATGCGAAATCTATACTTGGACTAAAAGGCAGTCGTCAGAACAGAGCAGGGTAACACCGCATGGTTCAAAATTGGGAAGGGTGTATGCCAGGGATGTGTCCTATCTCCATACCTTTTCAACCTGTATGCAGAGCAGATTATCCGAGAGGCTGGGCTCTATGAGGAGAAGTGTGGCGTCAGGATTGGTGGACGATCTATCAACAATCTGCATCATGCAGATGACACAACCTTGCTTGCCGAAACTGAGGAGGACCTCATGCACTTGCTGCAGAGGGTCAAGGACTGCAGCCTTCAGTATGGACTGAGGCTCAATGTCAAGAAGACAAAGATTCTCACCACTGGATCAATTGGTAGTATCAGGATGGAAAGCGAAGAGATTGAGATTGTTCACAGCTTCAGTTTGCTCGGCTCCACGGTCAACACTCTTGGCACCAGCAGCCAGGAAATAAAAAAAACGTATTGCGATGGGAAAGTCTGCTGTTAGGGACCTCTCTAAAGTACTCAAGAGCAATGGTGTCTCTCTGGAGACTAAGGTGGGCCTGATACACGCCATGGTCTTTGCAATCACTTATTATGCATCAGAGAGTTGGACAATGACTAGGGAGGATAGAAGGAGAATTGATGCCTTTGAGCTGTGGTGCTGGAGAAGAGTATTGAATGTACCCTGGACTGCCAAGAAAACAAACAGATTCATCCTAGAGAGGGTTAAACCAGGCTGCTCCTTGGAGGCAAGGATTCTGGAGCTTCATCTGACATACTTTGGACATGTTGCAAGGAGAAACAGGTCCTTGGAGAGGGACATCATGGTTGGTAGGGTGTAGGGACAGCGCAGGAGGGGAAGACCCCCTATGAGGTGGATTGATTCAGTGACTGGGGTAATCGGGATGGGTGTGTCAGAGGCAATGCGATTAGCACAGGATAGAGCAGAGTTTAGGGCTGTTGTACATAGGGTCGCTATGAGTCGGAAACGACTCGACGCCACATAACAACAACAACAACAACAACAACAACAACATATAATACAAGGGTCTCGGAACTAATTTTTACCTTTCACATGATTCCTATGTTCATTTGATGGTAAATTTCAAGTTATAAACATTTACTCTCACAAATTATTTTTATAATTTTATGAATTAACTGTCATGCGATTTACCTATACATATGCTAGGATTCTGCTTCTTTGAATTCTTTCTTACATCTATAACCTAGTATCTAAAATGCTCTTCTTCCTAAATAAAGTTAATTGTTAGTCTAACTGATGCTCCTTGCAAGGCTATCTCCTTTTTCTGGCTAATTCTATATTTATAACATTAGTTTTCTACAATTCAAGAGTAATGTATCTAGATGCGGTTTTATTTTTTTATCATATTTTGGAGTCACTAGGCTACTTAAATTTTTGATAACTTTCATGATGTCTGGTAAGTACATCTCATTTCATCACATATGAACTTTAACTTTTTCTTCTGTCTCTTTTCCTCTTAGAATTCTTAAATATATATGTTGCTATTATGTGCCATGGAGTTGGCTGCAACTCATAGCAACCCTATGTACAACAGCACTAAAGCCTGCCCTGTCCTGAGCCAGTGTCACTGATTCTGACACACCTACCTCCATTGACCTAGTTCTTGTACCAATTAATCTCATCTGGTGTCTTCCTCTCCTGCACTGTCCTTCCCCCTTTCCAACCATCATGTCCTTCTCCAAGGATCAGTCCCTTCTGGCCACATGTCCAAAGTATTTGAGACAGAGCTTTAAAATCCTAGCCTCCAAGGAGAAACTTGGTTTCACCCTCTCCAACATCTACTTGTTTTCTTGGCAGTCCATGGTATGTTCAAGACTCTTTCTCAGCACCACAACTCAAAGGCATCAATTCTTTTTCTATCATCCTTAGTCATTATCCAGCTCTCATGGTGCTGCCAATTGACCCAGTGGTGAGAATCTTTGTCTTCTTGATATTGAGCTTCAAACCATATTGAAGACTACAGTCCTTGACTTGGTGCAGCAAGTGCTTCAAGTTCACCTCAGTTTCAGCAGGTAGGGTTGTGTCATCTGCATAATGGAGACTGTTGATGAGTCCTCCTCCAATCTTGATGCCATATTTCTCCATAAAGCTCAGCTTCCTGAGTGATCTGTTCTGCATAGAGATTGAAAAGGTATGGAACAAGATGCATCCCTGACACACTCCCTTTATGATTTTGAACCATGTAGTGTTTCCCTGCTTTGAGGACTGCTTTCTGGTTCAAGTATAGTTTTCACAAAAACACAATCAAGTGTTTTACACACACACGCACACTCTCACTCATATTTATTTATGTTGTTATTTGTTCACCCATTTTTATGTACATTGCTTCTCCCCCTCCTTTATGTTTCTCAATTTTTGTATGAACTATCTTTCAGTTCACTGGTATCATAATTCAACAATATCTAATCTGTTGTTAAAACTATCCATTAGATTCTTAATTGAAATGTGCTTTTTTAATGGAGGAACTACTATCCTTTTTTCAAATATTCTCTGTCAACTAAGAGGGTTTCCTTGTAAAATTTTCAAGTTTGGTTTTTAACTCTTTGAATATAATGAGCATACCTGTTTTGATCAATGTCAGTAAGTCCAGTATCTGGAGATTTGCTGCTGTTGATTGCTGTTTGTGATGCTTCTTGCTTACAATGTCTGGTCCTCTTTACTTGTTAGTTCTATATGTTAAAAATTACTTATTGAAATGGCTTGAGGACTAAAATGATGTTATCTTTCTCCAAAAAGAATTTTTGTTTACTTTTATTATGTTCCTAGGGAAAATAGCAATCTTAATCCATGATCATAGTTTGAGCTTAGTTTGGGCCACTTTTATGACTCAAAGTTAGGCTGTAGTCGAAGGGATAGCTTGGTTATTCTGGTTCACTCTTACTCCTAGGGTGCATCCCTTTAAGGTTTTTAGCCCAAAGAAGGGAGTGCTTCACCAGTGTCCTCACTCTTGGCAGGCCCGGGACTCCAATTTTTATCACCTTAGCCCTGCAAGGGTACAAAAGTGTAGTTCAGTGTCTTAGCTGCCTTAACTGTATGTGAAAGCTACAGAACCATCTTGACTAACATTTTATAATTAAAAGAACTTGGAAAATAGCTTTCACAAATGTAGATACAGCTATGGAGTAGATAATATAATTGAAGTTAATATATACTGCAAATAAAATTCATCACATCATTAATAGAACAAAGAATTTTGAGTTAAATAGCAAGCAACTAGGTAACATGACAAAAAGAATAGAAAAAGTCACTCTCATACAAAAACTATGAAGTTCCTTCTTTTTCTCACCATTTTCTGCGAGTGGAGCAAGAACTTCAAAAATCATTTCCCTCTTATCATGTTCTATTTGTTTCTTGAAGAGTTCTACCAGCTCTTCAGCTATGTTAGTACTGGCAAACTGTTCTTTACTTGATTCTGCAAAATAAAAGAGAAAACAAATTAAGTAAAGAATATTAAACTCAGAAATTGTTTCCTATTACTTTCAATAACTGGTAATTTTCACCACTAACAAACATATAAACACTTCAAACATAGGAAAAATAAAATCCATAGTTAAATGTCCTGGAAATGGAAAAAATGTCTAAGGCTTTAGAGAAAATGTTCTCAATAAATTATATGATATATAAAAAATGTGCATTAGGAAAAAAACCTTATAGGTAACCATAGCAACAACAGAAGTACTTCATTACAAATTCATACTTTCAAAGCTTTTTTATCAAAGAAAAAGCTTACAACAAACTATTTTACATGATTAAATTAAATGCAACTTATCATCTAATCTTTACTATTATTAAAATATATTCTTTTTTTATGGTTCCTGGCAGCCCTACATGTTTCTGAGGTCTTATTCCTTCTTTCTTCTTCAGTATCTTCAACTTTTCTTTACCATAAAGCTCATCATCACATTTAAATTTGCTTTAGCATATTTCACATAAAAAATAACATCTCTAGTTCATTCCTTTCTTCAACTACCATTCAGTTTTTGTTCTTTTCCACAATTTCTTAACAGAATTCTCTATATACAATTCACATACATTCCTAAGCCAGTCTCTTTCACTTTCTCTTTTTCCCCCATCAAACTGCAAATACTATCAACTTGGTACAAGGAGCCCTACTATAGCAGTGGTTCAGTGCTCAACTGCTAACCAAAAGGTTGGCAGTTCAAACCTTCTGACCACTCCACTGGAAAAAGATACAAGTCTTGTTCTTTGAAGACCTAAAGCCATGTAAACTCCACAGAGGCTGCTGTACTTTGTCTACTGTATTGCCATAAATCAGGATTTTTTCTTTCTTACTTTTTCAGTACTTACCAGGTCATCTAATTATCTTCCTTTTTGATACTTCCCTAAAATATTCTCCTTATCCAAGCTTACCTAAGTCACTCAGTAAATAACTAGATCATCTACCTACCTGCACATGCAGAAATCTGGGAGTCATGTGCAATTCTAATTCAACTTTCATATCCAAAGAAACATCAGGATCTATTGATCAACTCCTCAAGTTCAAAAGTACTCTACTGCACTCTTCCTCAAATTTCCTTCAAATTTCTTTGGTCAGATATTCCATAAATTTTTCTTGGATAAGTTTCTTTCAGAGAATCCTGATTTAATCCAATCTGACTGGTTGGTCTCGCTTATCTGAGGGGTATCACTGACATCTGAGAATTCCTCATTATTATTTGGATGGATCATTTCCTCATGCCAGAGATATTTTTTCCATGTCTTTTCCTTCATTTTGTTTTGGGGATGAAACTTCCAAAAACCTTCTTAAGAAAAGGTAGATTAAAGGAATTTTGAAATAAAGGAATTTTTTTTATGAAAATGTACTTTCTCACCTTGAGTTTATGTCTTTCATAAAAACTAGGGCTTTACTATATTACTTTCCCATGGTGACAATGATCCTAATTATATGCTAATTTTAAATTACTTTAGTAAATGGAAACTTTTTTCACTTAATAAAAGCATAAGCTTCTTGAGGACAAGGGCAGTGCATATTGTTTTAGCCATTAAATATACAGTGTATAACAAGTGTCCAAAATAAATTTACTGTTTGAATAAAGAAGTTAATGAATACTGAAATTCAACTGTGCTCTCTCTACATTTTGGGGAGTCTTGGTGTAAAGAATACTACTTTAAAAGAAGGAAAACCAAAAATGTTAACATGGCATAATACAGTCTTGATTAATTATATGAAATGACTTTTGGTACATGCCTGAACAATGAAAATTAACTCCAGTATGGAATGATTCTAGTTGTTGTTATGTGCCATCTAGTTGCCTGCAACTTATAGTCACCCTATGTCCAACAGCCCTAAACCCTGCTCTATCCTGTGCCAATCTTAATTTTCTCTAACACACCTACCCTCATTACCCGTCACTGAATCAATTCATCTCATCGAGGGTCCTCCTCTCTTGTGCTGTCCCTCCACCCTCCCAAGCATTATGTCCCTTTCCAAGGACTGGTCCCTACTTGCAGCATGTCCAAAGTATATCAGACGAACCAATACAAACAAAGGGAGGGGGGAAAGCGGTGGGATGAGGTGTCTTTCCCAAGAAGCTATTTTCAGATATCATATTAACTGTTAATAATTCTATCTTAATGGAAAATTACAAATCCTAGACATCATGTGTTGATCATCTCTCTGCTTCAGACAATTCTTCAAATGAAATGAGTTTCAGAAGAAGAAAAAAAAGTCCCAACTAAAACAGACATACGCCATTACTTATGTAGTTACATTCTCTTATTCTTTAAAATAAGTGTTAACTCTTTTATTAGTATATATTCTGTTCTTCCATATATTTGATACACCAAAACAAAACCAACATTGCCAAGTAATTCTGGTTCAATTCAATTGCCAGCACAAATAAATAGTGTGACAGGATTAACAGAGGAATTAGAGAACAAAATAATTTGTGTTAATCCTCAAAGTGGATAGAGAGGAAAAACGAGTAATGGCATGAATTCTCATTTGGACATTGTATCAAGACTAAATGCCATGAATTCTTTACTTGCGCAAGTAAGAACAAAAACAACCAGAACAACAAATCTCATTTTCCAAAGCTTTATTTTTATCAGTTATGCATGCAACTGGTTAAGAATTGCTTTCTGATATTTAGGCAGTTTACAGCCCCTTCTTTCTCATTTCTTCTTCTTTAGAAGTAAACAGATAAATCTCTTTTAGATAATTCATTTGTTAACTATAAAGATTAACATTCTATTTCCTTCCTAAAGCTCCTGTAAAGATAAGTGAGGGTCAGCACACATCCAGGGCCATGCTTCTGCTTGCAATGAGTCAGAACCAATCCAACTGCTGTATGAGTTTGATTTGGTTGTATTCTCTTCATTGAAACTGAAGTACTGAAATCAGTATTTTAGTATACAGTATTCAGGAATATGGCTCTTTTTAGTTAGAAAAAACAAAATTAGGTCTTTTATTTATAAAGTAAGGAAAATTAATAGCATTTATTTACTTGGTTTAATTATTCTCAAAATAATTAATGAAGAGAAGGCACTCTGGTGACTCAGTAGTTAAGTGTTTGGATGCTATCCTAAAGGTTGGTATTTTGAATCCACTGGTCACTTCAAGGAATAAAGATGCTATAGTCTACTTCCATAAAGAATTCCAGGCTTGGAAACTGTGAGGCGGTTCTATCCCGTCCTATAGGACTGCTATGAGTTAGAATCAACTCAATGACAGTGGATTTTTAGTTTACTTTTATAAACATGACTATGAGGAAGATTCAGATGAAGATTTATAACTTTCTGGTCAAAATCACAGGAAGGAAGAAAATAAAGGAATCAAAGACAATGGATCAAAGAGAAAAAAAAAAGAATAGAGGATGGTGGGCAGGGTAGAAGTATTTGTTGTTGTTGATTGACATTGAGTTGAGCATGGCTCAAAGCAACTCTATGAACAAAATACCCAATGCCTTTCTATAACTATCGTAGTTTCTCCAAGTTCATACTTTCCATAGGCATGTGGTTTAGGAATTGGATGCCACTCCTGCTTCCAAACCTGTCCTACAACTGGGAGCTTCACCAAACACTGTCCACATTGGTAAACCATTACGGTATTTAAAAGCCCAATGGCACAGGATTCGCTATCTCAGCAAACCCAGATTACCTCAGCACAGCAAACTGACAAGGAATGATGTATAAAGTAGAAGAATGTTCTTCCAAAAATATAACAACACTAGTCTCATTTAGCTTAAGTGTTGTCAAGTCGAATACGACTCACAGTGACCCTATGAACAAAAGACCTGAACTCTGTTCTAAAATTAACATCTTTTCTTTACATTCATAGAGTTTATAGAGTTTCCAGAGGCATCTGGTTTAGGAAGTGGATGCCACTCCTGCTTCCAAACCTGAATTAATCTGGAATCTTCTTTAAACACTGTCTGTGATGGTTAACGACGATGGCATTTGACACAGATAAGGCACATTGATTTGCAATTCCAAGTTATTCAGTAGAGCAAATAGAGAAATGACTGCTGTACCATTTAAAGAATATTCATTCTTATGGAATTTTAAAGACACACCCAGCAAATGCTATTGACTATGCTCCAGCTTTGGGTCCTTGTCAACTAGGGCAAAAGTCCGAGCCTACTGACACCTGCTTGTGGAAGGGAAAGAACCCATAACATAACCCAACATCAAAGAATATAGCTTTCAATATCAGTGGTTTCCAGCATTAGTATGGTACTCTGTGGCTTTGGATTTTGAATAATTTCTGGTCAAAATGACATCTTTTCTGGTCTTCTAATGTCATTGAAAAGACATTCTTAAATCTTATTTTAAAAGTCAGTCTTTGGTTTCAAAGATTTTGGGGAAAAGAACTAGACCTTACTCTGCTAATTTCTACTTCACTCAATAAGGAATTAATTTATATAAGATGTAATAAATTATATCCTTTATATTTGGCATGAAAATACAATTTTAAATTTCAAGATTTTCCCTCTCAAAAAAATGCTAAAGTCAAGTGTGAATAATTTTAAATATTCAACTATATCAACTGATGCATATATACTAAACATTAAACCTTTAATGATGAAACAATTACAGAAGTAAAATAACTCAAATTGTGAAGACTACAATCATAAGATCAAACAGCAACTATTTTTACAATGAAGCAAGTATATCTATACTCATAAAATAGAATATGATCTATATGGATTTCCTAAAATGCCCTGGTAGTGTAGTTATAGAAGTGCTCACCTGCCAATGAAAATGTCAGACTTACCAAGTTCTGCCAAATTGCCAAATGCAACAAGACACATTTCTGTAAGAGCTGCATTTTGGCAATGGATGCCCAACAATTTCACTAAAGTAGGAATAACGCCCATATTGATAAGCTGAGCTTGAAGTGAATCTGTAAAAAAAATATATTTGTATAGTTCAAATATCAAATTAATATTATTAGCAATAAGAAAACATGTCTTATTCTTCCATTTGCAAACTTAATGCTATTTTAATTACAGCAGAAGAAGAGAAAGTCCATTCATCATTATCTTGAAAATTTTAAGGACTAGTTAAAAAAGAATTGGGTCATGAATCTTTTCTTAATGTCAAAAAGAAATTTAGAAATGAGAATAATTCAAACAATAATAATCATTTTTTAAGAAAGCAACTTATACCTTTTAATATCAGGCTTTTAAATGTATGAAGAACTAAACATTATAATTGGCTTTGAAATAAAAATGTTAAGCAAAGTAACATTTGCATTATAGGAAATAATATATGAAAAATACAGGGGGAAAGCAAGTTTAATAAAGATCAAGAAAAGAGAATAAAAGTCTTAGAAAACCTTAAAATATTTTAATCATAATGGATGAAAAGAACATAATAAATAAGTACACAAAAATTACAGGTTTGGAGTACTTGCAAGCGTAAAAGTTCTTTGATGGCTGTTAGGAAGGAACACAGCTTTAGCAAGAAAAAAAGTGAGTTATTTTAAATAATTTTCTATTCATAGTATTAAATTATGCATACAGATATCAGTAAAAAGAAATTCTCGTTTGAGAAGTGAAGAGAATAGGTCAACATAGCCTTGTCATCCCCACTTGAATACATTTTCTAAGTAACTAATTTGTTTTAAAGTACTAAACATGCCTTGGGATTCTAAAATGAATCTTTATGGACATCAATAAAATATCCGTAACAAAGCTGAAGGGAAAGGAACAAAAAACCAAATATCAAAATATACTGCCTCTTGGAAGAAAAGAGGCATACAAACCATGTCTATACAAAGCACTATTATTGTAAATAACTGGTTCACCCAAATAAACAGTTGTGTTCTTCGAATATTTTTACCTCCTTAAAAAACCTTTATTTGTTGCATATAACACTCCTACCACATAAATATCATATATATGTATATGCATATGACATGCTGAGTGCACATAGAAAACTAACGTGAGAGCGCTGTGTGGTTTACAAAATAAACCTCAACATGCAGATTTTCGAGTAAGACGACCGACCGTATATGCCAATTTCAATCTAATTTTCTCCAAGTTCTTTTAAATTATCTTTTGGGAATCTTAAAATACATCCTATTTCTTACAAAATAATATTTATATCATACACCCCTTTTAGAGAGTCTGTTTCCTAATCCTCTTGTCTTAGATAACTTGAAGATAAAAAGGTCCTTTTGGCCGACTGTCAGAGAGCAACATGAATGCAGAGTTGAGGTGTATACCCCATAGGCCTGGTTGTCTTTTAGAACTAATGCGTGCAGAGTGAAGTATAAAGATATAAGTAAGAGCGCTGTTAGTGAAAGGGTTAAGCAGGAACAAACAGACACTCCACAGGAGGAAGACGTAGCAGTTTGCTTCTTTAAAGGTTACAGCAGTGGAAACCACATAGGGAGATTCTATTCTGTCCTACAGGGTCACTATGACTCAAAGGCAGTGGGTTTGAATTATCTTGTGTTATGCAGAGATAGTCAACAGAAGGATATTACCCCTGAAAGTTGATGAGTAGTTATGGGTAAGTATTTGGGTAGGTGGTGGTGATACAGCTACATTAGTAGGATTAAAAACAGATAAGAGAAGAGGAAAGTTGTACTTAAGAGTTGAAAGAATCTAAAACAATTTCAAATTTTGCATTAGAATTATGAATTCTAATCCAAAAAATTAAAAAATGTGTTCTGTGTTCAACTAGATGATTTGATTTTCTGATTTTGATGGCAAATATTTTTCCCAAGTATACAATTTAGCAATTAATAAATTATTCCTAATACTTGTTTATTTCTTAGGAAGCATTTGTATTATAAACCTATATACTGTATTGACACCTGACTTTTATTTAGAGTCAACAGTACCTCGGGGAGGGCTTTTGTATTTAAAAGTTGGTTGTTATTACATTTTGAAGGAACATTCTTCTAAGTGGTACAGCACTCTTCTGTCAATATGCTCTATTGAGGTAACCTGGGGTTGCTGTGATGCTGAACCTTGTGCGACTGGGGTGTCAAATGATATAACAGTTACCCATGGTGGACAGTATTTGGTGGAGCTCCCAGTAAAAGACAGGTTTGGAAGCAGGGGTGGCAAGGCTTCAGGTCTTTTGTTCACATGGTCACTACGAGTTGCACAATTTGATGGTAATCAACAACAAGAACATATTGTATTGACAGAATATTTCCATTACTGACTACAGTTTTTATCATAATCACATCACTCTGTGGCCTCAGATACACTTGACTGAAGCCGTGGTATTTTTAATTACCCTACCTGGACAATGAGCAAGGAATACTCTAGAAGAATCGATGCATTTGAATCATGGTGTTGGCAAAGAACAATGAATAGACCATGGACTGCCAGAAAAATGAACAAACTTTTCTTAAACGAATTACAAAGAATACAACTTAGAAGCAAGTACAGTGAAACTTCATCTTACAGATTTTGAATGTTACTAGGAGGGACTAGTTTCTGTAGAAGGATACCATGCTTGATAAAGTAGGGGGTCTGTGTTACTCTCTTGTTCATGGGATTTTTAGAGGTCTGTTACTAAGAAGTGTATGGCCAATCCTGCTTCCTAGTCTGTCTTAAAACGGAAGCTCTACTAAATCTTGTCCACTATGGGTGACCCCTCTGGCATTTGATACACTGGTGGCACAGTTTTCACAGCACCTACAAGATACCTCAGTACAACAAACTGACAAGTAAGTGTTGTAATAATTAGAATTGTAGCTATAAAGTGAAGATCATCCCCTCAATAGAACAAACTGACAAATAATACAGATACCCAAGCTATAATTAGCAATATGCAAACCATTCCCCTTATACAAAGATTGATACATAAATGTTGTACTTTAACAGAAAACCATAAAGAGAACCAGACATACAAATATTCTTCTTGGAGAAGATAGCCTCTTATCACCCCACCCGAGGCTCTTGATAGAGCAGCAGGATGGAGTTCTAGATGACAATTTTATGGCTCAGCTGGATCCTTAGAGCTTGTGTTTACACTCCAAGAATTGGAGAACAAAAATGGAAGACCTTCTCAGCATTTGTCAAGCTAAAAAAACGGAAAAACAAATGCAAGCCTCGAGTTGCCATACGTAGAGATACTGTGGGTAAAATCTTGAATAATCTAGGAAGCAACAAAATAAAAAGAAGGGAATACACAGAATCACTGTACCAAAAAGAACTGGCTGACAAGGAAAGATTTTAAAAAATACCGTATGATTATGAGTCAATGTTAATGCACGAAGAAGTCTAAGCTGCACTGAGGGCATTCACAAAAAATAAGGCCCAAGAACTGATGGGATACCAAGTGAAATGTTTCAAATGACAAATGCAGTCCTGGATGTGCTCACAGGTCTATGCCAGGAAATCTGGAGGTCAGCTACCTGGCTGACTAACTTGAAGAGATTCATATTTATTCCCATTTCCAAGAAAGGTGATCCAACAGAAAGTGGAACTTATCAAACTACCATTAATATAAAATGTAAGCAAAATACTGAAGATCATAAAAAATAAGACTAGAAAATTACATGGACAGAGAAATGCCATATATTTAAGCTGGATTTAGAAAAGGCTGTAACACCAGGAATATCAGTGCCAATATCAGATGAGTCCAGGCTAAAAGCAAAGAATATCAGAAGAATTTCTATTTGTGCTTTATTGATTGTGGGAAGTCATTTGACCATGTGGATCATAACAAATTGTGGCTATAACTGTGAACGGGAGTCCCAGTACTCTTAATTGTGTTCATTGTGAAACCTATCCCTAGACCAAGAGGTTGTTGTGTGAACAGAACAAGGGAGCAGTGCATGGTTTAAAATTAGGTAATGTGCATATCAGGGTTGTATCCTTTCTCCATACGTATTTAACCTTTATTCTGAGCAAACGATTTGAGAAGCTGGACTCTGAAGAATATACAATCAGGACTGGATGAAGATTAATCAATAACCTTCAGTACACAGATAACACAATCTTGCTTTCTGAAAGTGAGGATTTAAAGAGTTTGTTGTAGAAGACCAAAAAAATCAATATGGATTGCATCTGAATGTCAAGAAAAACCACTGGACCTACAGGCAGCATCATGATAGAGAAAAGACTGAAACGGTCAACAAGTTCATCTTACTTGGATCCACAATCAACACACTTGGTATAAGCAGTCAGAAGATCAAGAGATGTACTGCATTGGGTAAGTCTGCAATCAGGGACTTCTCCAAATTATTGAGGAGCAGTGTTATTAGTTTGAGGACTAAGGTGTGTTTTATTCTGGCAATTCCTAGGTTGCTGAAAGCTAGACAGTGAATAAGGATGACAGAAGAACTGATGGCTTTGAACTGTGATATTGGAGAAGAGTATTCAATGTCCCATGGACATTCAAAACAAAGAGCAAACAGGTGTGTCTTGGAGAAGATGCAGCCAGAGTGCTCCTGAAAGGCAAAGATGATAAAATTTTGCTTTACATACCATACTTTGGGCATGTTGCTATAAGAAGCTATTTCTTGGAGAGGGGCATCATGCTTAGGAAGGAGGTGGGACAGTTAAAGAGAGAAAGACTCTCAACCAAGTGGATTGACACAGTGACTGCAGCAATGGGCTCAATTGTGTCAGGGATTGAGAGGATGACACAAGATATGAGAGGGTTCAAATCTGTTGTTCACAGGGTTGCTATGAGTTGTATTCAACACGATGGCACCTAATGGCAACAACAACAAAGCAGAGGATCAGTGAAAAGGAAAATAGGACAATCTTTAATGAGATGGATTAACAAACTGGCAGCAACATAGGCTCTAACAACAATGATTGTAGCACATAATTGAGCAATGTATTTTTTGCTGTACATAGGTCACTCTGATTCTGAACTCACTCTGAAGCAGCTAATAACAAGAATGCATGAAAGAAAATTCCAAGT